CAAGGCTGCTCCTCGGCCCCGCTCCGGGCAGGTGGGGCTGCTCCTGCTCTCCCTCGGCCGGCCAGGAGGAAGGTAGCCCCGAGTCCCCCCTGGGTCCCCGGAGGGTGGCTGAGCCTGCGAGGATCCCGGGTGGATGCAGGGCTGGACGGGGAGCCTGCGGGGAAAGGGGGGGGCTCGCCCCACGGAGGGAAAGGGGGGGGGCTTTTCTTTTTAAGGATTTCTGGGGGGGGAGAATATGGGGCAATGGAAAGAAAGACCTTCCCCCTTCATTGGGGGGGGAGGCTGGTTCAAGGGGGGGAAAGTTTAAATTGCTTGAATTGAACTCATGTTCTCCCAACCCCAAAAAGATCTAGTTTCTTTCTGCTTAATCTAAATAGAGAGGAATGAATATTCTTTGCTTTTATTCTAATTTTTCAGTGGGTTTTCTTTTGTTTCTACACAGCTGGGCAGAATCTGAAAAAAAATCATTATTTTCCTTGTTTACTATGAAGAGGCTGTGAGGTGGCAGCCCCTTGGTGGGTTTTATCAATCAGAATAGAGCTGGAAGGGACCTTGGAGGTCATCTAGTCCAACCCCCTGCTCAGGCAGGAAACCCTATACCATTTCAGACAGGTGGCTGTCCAGTCTCTTCTTAAAAGCCTCCAGTGATGGAGAAACCACAACCTCTGAAGCCAAAGCTGTTGCCCTGGTTAATTGTCTTCACTGTTAGGAAGTTTCTCCTAATTTCCAGGTTGCTTTTCTCTTTCATTAGTTTCCATCCATTGTTTCTTTTCCTGCCTTCAAGTGCTTTGAAAAACAGGTGGATGCCCTTCTTCTTTGTGGCAGCCTCTCCAGTATTGGAATATTGTTATCATGTTATGGCCAGTCCATCTTTACTCTAGACTGGCCATAAAGAATTCCTGCAACCCTTCTAAACATGTTTTTGTCTCCAGGCCTTTAATCATTTTAGTTGCTCTTATTTGCCCTTTTTGCAGGGTCTCAATATCTGTTTTGTAATGTGACCAAACCTGGATACAGTATTCCAGGTGTGGTCTTACTAATTTACTTGCTCTTTATAAAGCTATACTAATACTTCTTGTGATTTTGATTCTACACCTCTGTTTATACAACCAAGGATTGTGTTAGCTTTTTTGGAAGCTTTTGCACTCTGCTGGTTCATGTTTAAGTGATTCTTCTCTCGACTGCAAGGTCCCTCTCACAGTTAACTGTTTTTGAGCCAGGTTTCGCCTAATCTGTATTTGCACCTTTGGTTTTTCCTGCCTACGTCTAAAACCTTGTTTTTTTCCACACTAAATTTCATGTTGTTGGATAGGGCCCATTGTTTTTTTTTATACAACAAATTTTTTTAGTTTTCTACATATTTAGAAAGCAACGTGGTGACCAGGTAATCAATAGTTCAGTAACAGCATTTTTAGTACATGTCTGAGGTTACATTGTCAAAAATTCCTTCTCTATTTCCCGTTAACATTTGACATAACATAATTAAACTAGTAAGTTCCTAATCATAGCAAGCTCAATTAAAACATTGGTCAATCTATTTTTTGTTTATACATATCCATATCCTGTTTTTAAATTTAACCTAATTCTTAATTTCTAAGTACAATATTCCAATTTTAATCTTTAACATCCATAATATTCATATTTCTGGTAACCCAAATTTCCTTTATTTCACTACACAAAAGTTATAATATCTGAAGTACATATATTACTTACTTAGATATATTCTTATTTTATTTCATAAATATTTTCTAATTCTCATCCTAGTACATCACAGCTTACTAATAGAGTAACCTTTATTGTCTCAAATCCATCATCTATATTTTCTGGGCTAAGGGATAATTCAAAGCTAATTCCCGATATTTAATTTCCATTTTCCTTATAAATCTAAACCCTAATTTTTACACCAATTGATCCATTATTCTTATTCTTATTATTGTTATTGTTATTTATCATTTTCTAAGAACATTTGACTCTAATAGTCATATTTCCCTTCATCTCCAAGTCTCCCTTTAGCCCATTAGTTGAGGCATTAGGATCTCTCTTCGTAAGTCAGAAGGCCCCATTTTTTAAACCTAACTCTAGCTTTCTTTTTCTGCCAACCAGGTTTCCATACCAATGTCTTTAAGTTATCAAGTAGGTCTCCTTTCATTCTGGCATATGTTACTCGAACCAAAGGAGATCATCTAGTCATCATTTTTTTTAAAAAAAACTGGTCCATTTATAATCATTAAGTTGTTGCCCTGGTAATTCAAATCTCAGTGTTTGTTCTAGTATCTTTATCTTCAATTTGGTCTGGTCTTCCTCAGGTTTCTTCTGGTTTAGGTAAAAAGTCATGTTCAATTTTGTAGTTATTGATTGGTTATCTAGATTTTCAATATACTGTCCTTGTTGATATTTAGCATCCTCTGTTTTGATATTACTTTGTTCCACTTCTGTTGCTTTTTGGGTTGTAGGTTCTTTGGTTGCAATCAGGGTTTGATTATCAAAGTTTTCAATATATTGTTGTTGTTCCTTGGAGTCCTCTGTCTTGGTATTAATTTCTTCCGCTTCTGTTGTTTTCTGGGTTGTAAATTCTCTAGTTGGAATCTGGGCCTCAGTTTGTGGGTTCAAGCTGGCGTCTTTGTCTTTCAGTCTAGATTTAATTATCTTAGTAGCTTAATTATCTCAGAAGTGGTATATATGTCTTAAGTGCTATTGCTATTCTGTCAGCCATCACAAATCTTTCTATCTTCTTTTCCTCTTTTTCCTTCATCCAACAGGTGGCACCGGGAAAAGTGGACAAAATTCCAGTTGTGAGATTTTCTGCATTTAGAAAGCCCTGCAACTGAGAAGGTGCCGGAAATTATGCTGGGTGGAGAAATACTTCGATAGAAGCTCCCCTCAGAAGAACCAGGAGAGACTCTTCAAGTGCTCTGAGTGCGGGATATCCTTTGCTCACAAATCCCTCCTTTTGATTAACTGGAAGCTGCACATGAGGAATGGATCCCATCTGTGTTTGAAGTGTGGGAACTCGTTTCGTGGCTGTGGAGCTTTCCCAAACATCTCCAGAGCCACCCCGGACTGAAGCCCTACAAATGTAGAGAGTGTGAGAAGCATTTTGCTAAAGGTTGGGACATCGGAGCTCCTTAGTGTATCCACCAGGGAAAGAGACCTCAGGAAGGCCTCAGTGATTTTCCAGGCCTCAGAACAGCCCAACTGAAGAGAAACCCCTGCAATTGTGTGCAATGTGGGCTTTGCTTTTCTCAAAAGTCAGAGATGCTTAAACATCAACAAATCCACATTGGACAAAAACCTTATCAATATCTTTTGTTCGAAAAACAAGTTTCAAAATCCACAGGAAAATTCACATGGAAATAAAACCTTATAAATGCTTAGAGTGTGGAGAATGTTTTATTCGGAGTTCATCTCTTTGCAAACATACTAAAACACACACAGAGGAGGAAAGCAGAACGTGCCTAGAATGTGGGAAATGTTTTTCCAGCAAATCAGCCCTGCGGCGACATCAGAGAATCCACACTGGAGAAAAACCTTATCAATGTCTGGAGTGTGGGAAATGTTTTTCCAGCAAACCAGCTTTGCAGCAACATCAGATAGTCCACACTGGGGAAAGACCCCATGAATGCCCTGAATGTGAGAAACGATTTGGGAGTTCTTCCAGACTTCGGAGTCACCAAAAGACGCACATGAGAGAAAAACTCTATAAATGTAACGATTGTGAGAAATGTTTTGCTCTAAAGAGAAATCTTTTTCGACATCAGATAATCCACACAGGGGAGAAACCCTATCAGTGCATCGAGTGTGGAAAATTTTTTCGTACGATATCGCACCTCGGATGTCATAAGAAAATTCACAGAGGGGAAAAAAAATTCAAATGTTTAGACTGTGGGAAAGCATTTATTCATTCAAATCACCTTAGAAGTCACTGGCTAGTCCATACAGCAGAGAAGCCCCATAAATGTTCAGTGTGTGAGAAATCTTTCATTCGGAAAGACAGACTTTTGATACATCAGAGGACACACAGTGGAGAGAAACCACATAAATGTCCTGAGTGTGGGAAATGTTTCTCCATGAGGTCAAACCTAATTCGACATGAGAGACTTCACACCGGAGACAGGCCCTATCAATGCCCAGAATGCGACAAGCGATTTGTGGAGTCTGCTGAACTCCGGAGACACCAGAAGGGGCACACAGGAGAGAAGCCCTATAAATGTAGGGAGTGTGCGAAATGTTTTCTCACAGCAACACTGCTTCGGGTTCATGAGAGAATCCACACAGGAGAGAAACCCTATAAATGTGGGGAGTGTGCGAAATGTTTTTTCACAGCAACACTGCTTCGGGTTCATGAGAGAATCCACACAGGGGAGAAGCCGTATAAGTGTTTGGAGTGTGGCAAATGCTTTTCCCGGAAAGAACACCTTGGACGTCATGAAAAGGTCCATCAAAGAATGAAGCCATAAAGACATAAAATATAGAAATTTTGTTTTGCTCAAAAGGGAGATATCAGAAAACTCACATGGGAAAAGGCCTAACAGGCCCTGATGGTGAAACAGTTTTTCATAGTTATTCACCCTTAGAAGTCATGTAAGAGTTCCTAAAGGGGGGGGGAGAGATTGGAAACCCTTAGATCACGAGAGAGCATTTCTTTGTCAATCATCGCTTAAAAACCATACTCTAATCCAGTCACCACTGGCACGGGTGCCAGAGGCGGCACTCAGAGCCCTCTCTGTGGGCACACGTGCCGTCGCCCCAGTCCTAGGCCTTCAGCTGGGTTTTATAAAACCTTTTCGCTTTAGGCCTCTGCCGCCGTGTACAAAAAAAAAAGGTTCAATCAATCAGTCAATTTCAACTTCTCGCGGGAAAAAAAAAGATCTTGCAAAGTTGGAATTGATTGATTGAACTTTTTAGTCCCACCCAGTCTGCTGTTACCACTGCAGCCACGCCCACCCAATGGGCCACACCCACCCGGCACCCGACGATGCATAAGTGGGTTTTGGGTTGCAGTTTGTGCACTTGGTCTCTAAAAGGTTCGCCATCACTGCCATATAGGAAAGATGCAGCATAAATGTTTGGAGTGTGATGTATGGTTTGCCTGAAAGAATACTCTTTTTCAGCATCAGTGAATTCTTAACTGGAGAGAATCTTTATCAGGGCTTAGGATGTGGCAAAGGTTTTTATCTGACAATCAGATCTTCAGATGCACATGAAAAATCCACACAGGAGAAAAACCTTAACAAGCGTGTAGCATGAGAAAACATTTCCTTGCCAATTGGAACATCTCTCGATTCCCCGGGTCCGATTTTCTTCTGTTGGTGGGCCCGTTTGGCCCAAATGCCGCCCCGGAGAGGTGGCCACTGAAGGGCGAACTTTTGAATACCGACGGCCCATTGAAGCCAAAGCAACCCCTGGAATCAGCGGAAGAAAGGCAGACGGCATTCATGCGATCCGCCTTTTAAAAGCTGATTGTCGGAGACGGAGAAGCAGGGCAGATTGACAGCAAGCAGCTGAGCCGTGTGAGAACATGCTCTTCTTTCCTGGTGAAAGTGGTTTTTTTTTTCTTAAATAGCCTGCTTTTAGCCTGAGCATGAAGCCTTTAGGGAGGGGGTGGAGTTTTTTTCCTCCCTCCTGTATACAAGCGGCAGTTTAAGCCACTTTGCATTCAAAAATAATAATCTCTCAACACACTAAAGCTGTCTAAGTCTTAATAGAACTTGGCTGTATGCCCAGATATTTGGCTGTATGCCCAGTCATCCTTATCTGACCTTGAAGCTTGTTGAAGAAGGCTTTTTTTTCTTTTTTCTTTTCTTAGTTTTGGCCTGACTCTACAGCACAGACTATTCACTTTAGATATGTGATATTCTGAGTCATCTTTTCCCCTGGATTATAAACATTCTGCCCAGAAGAACTGAATATGAAGGAACTTTTTTTTCTCTTTCTCTTTTTTTTCTTTTTTCCTTTTCCCCTGTCTTTGAGCAAAACCTGGTGGATTATAAATTGGATATCTTCCTTTATTGATTTTTCTTTTTTCTCTCTTTTTTCTTTTTTGAACAACCTTGTGAATATTTCTTTTTATTGGGAGTTTTTTCTTTCTTTTTTCCCTACATTTTTATTATTATTATTATTGATATTGTTCCTTTTTGCTTCTTTTTTCCTTTTTGATACTTTTTTGGCTTTTTTTCTCTCCCGGTTGGAATTATTTTTTCTTTTTTTTCTTTTTCAATTTTTGGGGGATTTCCCCTCCTAGCAATAGGAGCTTACTGGATTACAATTGGCCATTGGGCCACCTGGTGGATTATAATATAAGATATCAACTTAAAGATGAGCGCTTCAAACTTGACTAAACTCCGGAGAAAAGGATCTTCTGCTCCTGCCTCAACTTCCGTGCGTCCAGTTTACCAAAAATCAATCACTACAGTGTTACAGCAAGAAAAAATGGGCCCCCAACAAAAGGACACCCAGGCAATACTACAGGCAATTGCAGCTCAGATGGAATCCTCGACTAAAAATTACAAAGATTTGAAAAACGACCTCGATAAAATGAGCAACGGTCATAAGTATCAGCCAGTTGCCAAGCATCTGAATTCTGGTCACATGACCACGGGGAGGCTGCAAAGGTCTTAACTGAAAAACGGTCATAAGTCAACTTTTTTTCAGTGCCGTTGTAATTTTGAACGGTCACTAAATGAACTACTGTAAGTCAAGGACTCCCTGAAGAAGCATAGAATATGTATCCTAGAGTGCAGCGGATGGAAGCCGGGAAGTAAGAAGGGCTTTGCTTATAATTTTGTGGTAGTTTTAAAAGACCTTTTGGAAGAAACCATAATATTAATGTAAAAATTAACGGATTTTAGTGCATTAGCTGGTTTTAAAATCAATGGCAAATGGACAAAGAATTTGACCAAAATATGAAAATGGAAGATCAAAAAGAATTGATATGAAAAAGCGATTTAAAAGAAAGGAGACAAAAGTAGGAGATTTGGTTATTCTTACAAAGAATACAAATTCTATATCAAAATAATTATGATAAGGCACAGAATTAAATAAAGAAGGATGTGTTCAGATGGGAAAAAATTACAATTGTCGTTGGGTACAATTTCTATAATTAAAAATGACTGTATTACCTAGACTGATGTTTCTGTTTTAAACAATACATATCTGAACAACAGGTATACCACTAAAGAAATGGCAGGAAGATATAGCTAAGCTTATATGGCAGGAGAAAAGCCAAGAGTTTAATTGAAAACTTCAAGAGAAAAGATAATAATAATAATATTATAATAATAATAATAATAATAATAATTAGTAGTAGTAGTAGTAGCAGCAGCAGTAGTAGTAGTAGTAGCAGCAGCAGCAGCAGCAGCAGTAGCAGTAGCAGTAGTAGTAGTAGTAGTAGAATAACCTGGAGGCAGGTTGTTCCAATGATTAACTGTTCTAACTATCAGGAAATTTCTCCTTAGTTCTAGGTTGCTTCTCTCTTTGGTTAGTTTCCATCCGTTGCTTCTTGTTCTGCCTTCAGGCGCCTTGGAAAATAGCTTGACTCCCTCTTCTTTGTGGCAGCCCCTGAGATATTGGAACACTGCTATCATGTCCCCCCTCGCCCTTCTCTTCATTAAACTAGACATACCCAATTCCAGCAACCGTTCTTTATATGTTTTAGCCTCCAGTCCCCTAATCATCTTTGTTGCTCTTCTCTGTACTCTTTCTAGAGGCTCAACATCTTCTTTACATCGTGGTGAGCAAAACTGGATGCAGTATTCCAAGTATGTATGTATGTAATATATACATAAATGCCATCTGTATCCAGAAAAACCCACAGGGCAATGGCAATTTGCACCTCTTTTTGTGGAAGGTTCCAGAAATGGGAGATCACCACCAAGAAGGCCCTGTGTGATGGAAACACCCATGAAAAAGGAGCTGCTTTCCAGGTGAAGCAGCAGTTCCCAAATACTTCATCAGAAAGCCAATGTATCTGATTCTGTCAGAGATTTTCAACTTTGGCAACTTTAAGATGCGTGGACTTCAATTCCCAGCATGCTCCCTGAGGAATTCTGGGGATTTTAGTCCATACATCTTAAAAGTTACCAGGATTTTTAAAAAAACTGGTTTCCATGAAAAGACCCCCCTTGCCCCACCTCCCCCACCCAATTCTTTCCAACTGAGTGTGGCCAGTTATGCCCCAGAAGGTTATGCCCCAGCAGCTTAACGTTGTGATTCTTGGGTTGTGGGTCCAGGGATGGTCTTGCCACAAGGAGTCTTGCTAGCATTCACTAAATGGAATCCTACAGAGGTGAGTTAGGCTGGGTTTCTACTCTGCAGCCCCCAGACAGGTGAGCTGCTCTGAAGGCATCTAAAGGTTACATTTGATAATGGGTGGGGGCTTCTGAAGAGTTCAGATATGCTTAATATATATTCAAAAGTTCAAATGTACTTCAGGGACCAACATCCGAATTAAGTGTCATGGGGGGACCAGGGAAGAAGAAGGGGTCTCCTCAGGGCCCTACAAACAGTTTATAAGCCTCTGTGTTAAAATTGGGTGCCTCTTACTTACAGGAAGCCCAGCCATGGTTCGAGTGTTTTTATCCTAGGGAAGCAAGCAGGGACCTCTGTCCGATTCTGGGCAGAAGGGAGGTAAAGGGCCGGGGGGTGGGGGTGGTGCAGGCCTGCCTGGGCACTGAAGGGCACTCTTCGCATGGGCAGAGGAACCCAGGATGCAGATGCCCAACAGAGGAACGGAGTACCGACTGGGAAGCAGGGAGGGGGGGGAGAAGTCCAAAACATCTGGAGGACAGCAGCTGGGGCAAGGCGGACTGGCTCTCATTGGACTGAGCTGCTTAACTCCTGCTTTGCCTTCCGGTTCTTTCTTAAACCCGGGTGCTGCTCTAAATGTTCCTAATTGTTTTTGTATCTCAGAAAGAGAAATATTTTGGACTGCAGAGTAAATAAAATTACATTCTACACACAGCAGCTTAATGTTGTGTTTCTTGGGTTGTGGGTCCAGGGATGGTCTTGCCACAAGGAGTCTTGCTAGCATTCACTAAATGGAATCCTCCAGACGTGAGTTAGGCTGGATTTCTACTCCCATAACGTCTTGCCGGCTGGACTTGATGGGAGTTGTGATCCAGCAGCTCTGCAGCCCCCAGACAGGTGAGCTGCTCTGAAGGCATCTAAAGGTTTCATTTGATAATGGGGGGGGGCTTCTGAAGAGTTCAGATATGCTTAATATATATTCAAAAGTTCAAATGTACTTCAGGGGCCAAAATCCGAATTACGTGTCATGGGGGGGACCAGGGAAGAAGAAGGGGTCTCCTCAGGGCCCTACAAACCGTTTATAAGCCTCTGTGTAAAAATTGGGTATCCCCGAGTTACAGGAAGCCCAGTCGTGGTTCGAGTGTTTTTATCCTAGGGAGGCAAGCAGGGACCTCTGTCCGATTCTGGGCAGAAGGGAGGTAAAGGGCTGGGGGGGGGCAGACCCGCCTGG